CCCCCCAAACCCACCTCGGGACCCCCTGAACTCCTAAACACTCCCTGGGACCCCCTGAGCTCCCCCTGAACCCCCAAACCCCCCCAAATCCCTGGGGAACGTCATCGACCCCCCTGGACGTGATTAAGGGGGTGTCCCTGCAGGTGGGACCCCAAAAACAACCCCCTGGGACCCCCCAAACCCACCTCGGGACCCCCTGACACCCCCAAACCCCCCCCGGGACCCCCAAACCCCCCCAAATCCCTGGGGAACGTCATTGACCCCCTGGACGTGATCAGGGGCCTGGGGGGTCCTGGGGTGTGTTTTAGGGGTCCTGGTGTGGTTTGGGGGGTCCTCTGGTGTGATTTTGGGGTCCTGGGGTGTGTTTTGTGCCCCCTGGGGTGGGTTTTGGGGGTCCTGGGATGTGATTTGGGGGTCCTGGGGTGGGTTCTGGGGTGGATTTGGGGTCCTGGGGTGGTTTTGGGGGTCCCTGGGGTGTGTTCTTGGGGTCCTGGGGTGGTTTTGGGGGTCCTGAGGTGGTTCTGGGGTGGGTTTGGGAGTTCAGGGGTGGTTTTGGGGGTCCTGGGGTGGTTTTGGGGGTCCTGGGGTGTCCTGGGGTGGGTTTGGGAGTTCAGGGGTGTATTTGGGGGGTCCTGGGGTGGTTCTGGGGGGTCCTGGGGTGTGTTTTGGGGTCCTTTGGGGTTCTGGGGTGTGTTTTGGGGGTCCTGGGGTGTCCTGGGGTGGTCCTGGGGTGTGTTTTGTGCCCCCTGGGGTGGTTTTGGGGTGGGGGTGTCCCCCCCTAACCCCCATTTTTTTATCCCCCCCCCCAGGAGCTGCACGAGCAGCTGGAGAGCAGCAACCTGGACCCTGCGGAGCTGGAACGGGCCCGGGAGGGGCAGGTGGGGCCTGGGGGGGTCCTGGGGGGGCCCTGGGGGGGTCATTTACCCCCCCCTTCCCCAGAGGTGACAACCCCCCCCTCCTCCTGCCCCCCCAGAAACGAGACTTCCCCGAGGGGATCCCCGAGTGCGGGACGGACGCGCTGCGGTTCGCTCTGTGTGCCTACACTGCCCAGGGTACCCA